TAACCCTTGCTGGCCTTACAAGAGAAAAGGAAGTTACCAGGTTTAACATCTCTATGTACTACGCCCTGTGAATGTAGAAACAAATATTTTAGAACCTTTTATGAAATAATCTTGAATCCTAATATAATATACATAGCAACTAGGCCTACCTGTTTATGAAGGCTTGCCAGCGCTTTAAACAAGCAATAGCCATACCATTGGAGATGAAAAAGATCTATCTCTTTCTTTAAAACCTAAAGGTAAAATCAACATTAAATAAAAGGCTCAAAAGGAAGAGAAGAAAAAAGGAAGCTAGAGAAATGTCCAATAATCACCTCAGGCCTATCATGCTCAACGTGCTGCAATACGAAGCAATTTGAATTTCCATTCGTGATACAGCCTTCATATTTTATCACGAAGTTTTTGCCCCTAAATTACAAAATTCACTGGGATGTAAAATTTCACCACTTTGTGTCTCTAAAGCACAAAATTTCTTTAAGTGAAACTTCAAACACTTACCCAAATCTTTCCAGCATCCTTAACTCATTGTTAACATGATGCTTATGAGCATTAGCATGCGGGCCTGCAGAGCAGTAAAAGCAATATGAGATCTGGAACTTCATTTACTCAAAAGGGTTCGAGTAACACAATTCATAATTTACAGAGTTGCATTCTACCTAAAATTATCAGGAAACTAGTCTACGCATGTTTATATTGACAGGACAGTTTAAGCCCAATTGGTTCCCGACTTATGCCAATCAAAATATTAAGCAAAAAATTATCAATAAAAAACCAAGAACTTAGGTACATTCTATCAATGACAACAAAGTTTTAGATTTTAGTTTTCGTTTATTAACTTTTTATAGGTAGAAGGTACCACATATTTACATTGCACAGGTAAGTAGATTTGGTAATCAGAAGAGGCAACAGTCTGACCCTGACATAAAATTCTTTTATAGGACAGCTGACAAATAAAAATTATGTGTTACTTACATTTAATAGCAACCTTTGTCCCGTCATTCTTGCTTTGTGCCCTATAAACAGTGCCATAACCGCCTACCAGTTTGGGAAACAAGCAAAAATCCATAATGACAAACAGGTTGATGGGGATGTGAAAAATCCAATATATAATCAAAGCTTTACATACCTGAACCTTCTTCTTCATCTACAATGTAAGATTCAAAAATAGGAAGTTCTTTTTTCTCTGGTTGATCCTACAAAGCGTCACATGCTTAATAAATATAAGATTGTCAATTAAAGCATACTTGCACACATTGAAACTTAGAGTAGGCATTACTTATTCGTACGTGTAGCATACCTTAGGAGAAATAGAGTTATGGCGTCTCTTTCTTTCATTAATATGCTTGTCATCATAATTCTGCTTTGATTTCTGTGCCATGCTGATTGGCTTTTGATCTATTTTCTGGTGCTGGTTCTCTTTCGGAGTGGCAACAGCCTGATCATGCTCTAAGTAGTGTGATTGCAGTCTTGAAGCCATCTTATCCTTGTGAATGGCCTTGATTTTGGCAGAGGGCTTCAACAATTGCTTTCGAGCAACAGAGAATTCAGTAGCTGGACATATGGTAGAGCTCTCATGTCTTGTTATTTGATTTTTATTCGAAGGCATCGTATCTTTACAATTTGCATTTTTCAGTCTGGAGTCACTTTCAGGCAGCATATCAGAAAGAGCAGTATATGGCTGAGATAAATTTCCTATTTCTCCATTAGGGCTGGAAGGACCTACTAACAACTGTTCGTCCTCACCTCTCACAATTCTTTCATCTTCAACAATTCTAAGATTTGTAACTTTACATCTGCCAATAATATTCACATCCACCTCTGCTGATATATTGCTTTGTTCACCTTTCTCTAGGAAATTTGTTGCCGTGCAGCCTAACTCATGTAAGTTAGCTCCTTTGTAAAGGACCAAAGCATCGGACACGCTGATGGGATTAGCTGGTTCTGCATCAGCTTGACAAGCCATTATTGTTTTGTTAACATTCGTTTGCACAATTATATTGGGCCTCATTTCATCTGACATGTTTATGTTTCTGCAGATGTAGTCAGTCATGTGGCAATGTATCTGCAAAACTGATTTGATTTAAAACCTGTCCAGAAAAGTGATTTGTTTGGTTGCACTTCACTTATACAACACAAAAATACTTTTGAAATGAAATAGAGAAACCTCGAGGGCCGTATTCAAAGAAAAGGGAATATATGAAAAATGCCAAGTGTACATTTCTAAGTTTCAGAAAACAAATAGGTATCTTAGGATGTCAAATTCCATGATCAATTTATTTTACAAACTAAATAAATGAGATAAAGGGGACCCCCAAAATTAACAGAGATCTATTAGCTTTAAAACCTAACATTAAGTCCAACATTTCTGGTTTGAACGCTAATATTGAAGAATAAAACATCAGAAAAAGCAACCAAATTTATAGAACTACAAACTCTATACAACTTTTATTCAATCATACCTTGGGAGCACTATGTCCAACTGATTTCGGCGCTCCGATTTCTTCATACACTGCAATTCATCACCACAATCACCAACCAAACAAATTAAATCCCCCAAATAAAAAGAGAACCATAATTTTTTTTTTCTTTTTGAAGCAAACATTACCATTTCCAAAATCCACAATCAATCTCCGCTTGGCCAGAGGCCCGAATCCACAATCCACGACGAACCGCTTTCGCTTCCCCAAGTAGCTTCTCAGTGCATCACCAGCACCGCCACACGAAACGGACTGGACGAAAGCTTCAAAGGAAGCCAGAGATGGCATGACGCAGAGAGATTCCGATAAGGCGAGAGGCGAGCCGGGAACGGAGCAGAGGTATTGGACCTGGCGAGGCGACGCTGGGAACAGCGTGCATCGGGAGGCGAGCTCGGAGAGGTGAGTTGGGCGGCCGAGTGACAAGAGGAGGGCCAGGAGGTGCCAGGCCTTCTCTGAGTCGGAGATGGCTGTGACAACGAGAGCTGAGTCGGTGGGGCGAGTCGCCATTTCCGTGTCTGATGAGATTTGGATCGGAGAGAGAGATAGAAGAGAGGGAAAAGAGAAGCGCCAATTTCGCACGTGTAGGGTTTGAGATTCAGCTGATAAGTTCCCGCCAAATGTTTCCCCTCTCTTTTTTTCTTAAAAGAGAATTTGAAAGTATAAAATATGAGGATGAGGTTTGGGCCTGTCAAGTTCAAATGAGTTCAGCGGCCCAGGTCCAGATTCAGATGGTGAGATCATATGACCCTTAGGTGAGACCTTATTTCCTAACTATTAGATCAAATTAGTTAACCATTGGATCAAATTGGTTAGCCTGATCCAGCGGTTAAGAAATAGGGCCTCACCAAAGACCATATATAAGACCCTCACTATAAAATTCTTGTTGCTTTGATTTGAGCTTTCAAAAGGTAAGTACAGTGCGCTCGCCGCTCCTGTACACCTCATCGAACTCAGGCATAAAAACATGAGCACACTATTTTGGTCAATTGGCTTAACCCACATCTACTTATTTGGTATAACTTTGTCGTAGTTCATCTTGTTAATCACTATAATTATTCATCGGGTACAATGATTGTTTGAAATTTCTATCATATCTCGACATTTATGTTTTTGTTGTGTACGGATATTAGATACAATATTTTTCCAAAAATCTCATTTGGTACATTATACTTACATGTCGTTTATAAATTTTTTCGATATCGATATATGGTTGATATTGTCATTAATATTTTTCTGATATTTTCTTGTAATACATTGTACATAAATCTATTGTCATTAATATTTTTCTAATATTTTCTTGCAGTACATTGTTCATAAATTTCTTTGGAATTCGATATCAACATTTTGTTGATATTTTTGTATTTTCTTTGGAATTCGATATCAACATTTTGTTGATATTTTTGTATTTTCATACTGCAATATCTTTGTTTAGAAAAATGCTAGGAAAACCAAATTTATAGACGAGACCAACTTGTATACGCCACCAATCTAATAGCATTTACTCTTCCGTTTAACATTGATATTTAATAGCGAGAGAAGTTGGTGGAAAGCCATTTCCTTCCAAAAGTCTATGGTTCTGAATTGACCTCTTGTAGAGGTATATAACAAAGCTCCATATATAAGATAAGAATAAGACACATACAAAAGCATGCTTGATTCTCCAAATACCATTAATAACCAACTTAAAAGTCCTCTCAACAACCAAGGTGATTGGTGTGAGTGGTTCGGCATTCTCATTCCTTAAGAGAGGTCAGGGTTTCGATCCCTATTCTCGTATGGAGTCACCATTTTGACCAGCACTTTATCCCTTATGGACCGACCCGGTGTGAGTGGGGATTAATCTGAGTTGTGGTTAAGGCTTAAAGGTGCCACCCATAGTTGGGGCCCATCCAAGACCACCTCGTGGTTCAGACCCAAAAAAAAAAAAAAAAAAAAANNNAAAAAAAAAAAAAAAAAAAAGTCCTCTCAACTCAATCTGAATTTCTACCAATGGAGTGTTAGTTGAATTGACACACGCTTGTGGTGTGCCCTCAAGTAATCCTGAGTTCAAATCCCCATGGTACCCTTGTGTGTGAATTTCCCCCTTCCCCTTCCTAACTTTGGCCAAAAAACCTCAATATGAAATTTATTTGAACTTTTGCTTGAATTACTTCCTTCAAGCCTTCACTGGTATTAGCCCCCACTACTTCCACACCCAACTTCGAATTGCCCTCATAAATTTGAGGGCATTGTAAAATTAGAAAGGAAAATGCCATCGTTAGTTTCGCGTGGGTGCATGATACTTTATCAGCCAGTGAGATGTGTGCGACCTATGTGGGTCGCACTGACTCTCACACTAGAAAGCTGTCATGCACCCTTGCGAAACTGATGCTAGATAGGACCCCTCAAAGTAGAAGAGGTGCTTTCAAGCTGCAAACGGATTTGCCAGACGGGAAGCAGCTCCCCAGTAATGTCAGAAATGTTGCACAATTTAAAATTTGAATATAATAGAATTTGTAGACACACCAAGGATAGAACAAGATGGTGAAATAGAAACATATTCAATAAATCAACTAATCACGATGCAAATTTGCAACAATCATCATCAATATACAAAAAAAGGAAGTAAACTTTCCATCAAACAGAAGATAAAGAAATTATACAAAGAATTTGTCAAGAAAATATTTCCTGATGTCCTGAATAAATGTCAAGTCATTCTGTAGATGGTGAAGATAATGAAAGGTTCAAGAGGAAGCCAACCATGAGTCCAATGAGTCCCACAAAAATTGCAAAGGTGAAGGAGAAGCCTGGGTCACCTTTCCGAAATCTTCGCCTCTTCAGTATATCCTGTGGTGAAAAAAGAAAGAAAAAAAAACCAGACAATGTTAGTTGGTGAGAGCTGTAAGTAGTTAGAGCATCCACAATGGAGGCTCTAAATGCCCCGTTGAAAGTAGGAAAAAAAGAACACTCGAACTCCCAATACAGAGAGATTATGTTATTTCAAATACCAGGTCCTTAACTTCTAGTAATGTTGTAATGTTGTACTGTTCTGTGATTTAATTAGCCACAAAAAAACTCCTATTCAATTTTTTCCTGAAACTCCTGAGGTCACCTAATAAAAGTCCTTTTCTTCCTGCTTTATATGGTTGTGACAAATTTTTCTGAATGTTGGATTTGTTGGCGAGTCCTTACTTAGTATCTGAGCATAACTAAATATTTACCCTACTTTGTTTGACAGGATTACATGTGTATAGCTAATCGTGGACCCTTATATCCAACTTTAAATGTCAGAAAAAAAGCAAACGATCTAGAATAAGCTACTTAGGTTAACTACTTGAGTCTTTTTGTATGTGTGTGTGTAGAGAAAGCAGAAGAATAACTATACACTGACCAGTTCCTGTTGAAGTTGCTGTGTTTGTCTAACAGCTGCATCTCTTTCATCCTTCAGGCGCTGGAAAGCCTGATTCTACATGTAAAAGAAATATCAATGAGTAAGAATATGACAAGAATTCAAATATACAATGAATTACTGTAATGAGCATACCAAGACATTTACAAATGGAAACACACCGCTGGGTTCTGGCAATTGGAGTCTCTTCCTAGAATCCTTTTGTTATCTTATTATGATTCTAAATACACGTTCAAATCGTACACATGATTTCTATACTAAATCACTCGCTATATTCATAGACCACTATTAATCAAAGTCCCAAACTGGTGTTTCTAATTACGCATTCTATTGCAGAATGTAACACACAATACATTCTTGGATTAAGTTTGTGAAGTAGTGGAATGAAGAACTACCCTCAGAAAACCAGAACTATGACATGCACAAGCATGATTGCATTGTTACACAAAAAGACAAACAAGTTCTAGAAAACACCACAAGGAAAGTACAACAACACTCACAGAATTAGTATCAAGACCATGCATGGAGCTCCTTAAAGCTTCATCTTCTGAGTTTCCTTGAGCTAAACCAGGAGTCATATACACAACTCTAAGCTTGCACTCCTCTAATGCCCTTCCACCTTCCTTGGTGAACTGAATGAAACATTAAAGTGCTTTTCCAATGTCATTGTTATTTCAAAATGATAAATTAAGCAAGTCAAACAGAGAGAATAGTGCCCAATTTAAAACTCTTACAGTATCTTGCGGGAGGTCATCAACATCAGTATTTGGGGGCACTGTTGTACTCTGTAGGAGAAATTTATCTTTACACTGCATATCTGGAGGATATTCTCGTTGGGCTTGGAGGGTGACTGCAGACCCAGCAGTTAGTTGGAAGCCATTATTAAAGAAATAAAGGAGAATATAATAAAACTAATTGAGAATGTACAAACAATTACATTCTTATGATTGGCCAAAGCCAGAGAGTACAGCTCTTAGATTCAAAACTTGCCATTTAAGAATCCACAAATCACCACTAGCTACTTTGCTCATTAAAAAGTAAGATAAAGCACTGGGAGATGATTCTGGGGCAGCCTCAAAAGTTTCGCACAATTGAGGTGGTGATAATAAAATTAGAATAACAAAAATGAAAAATTGTAACAAAGTAATGAGTAGCACCTCTGATGACACATGAGTCCCAAGCCTGTATAACACCAGTGTTGGGTCGTACAAAGTACTTCTTAGGTGAAGTGGTTTTAACCTAGAAAAAAGAGAATAAAAAAGAAAAAGAAAATTGTAACAATGTAACCAAAGAACATGCACTAGCAATTTCCAGATTGGACAAAAGAAAAATACACGCCCAGCAACAAAAATCATAAATACGTTCACCAACAGAATTGGTACCTTAAAAGCAACATGGTGTTCTGTGTTGTTGACAACTTTTAGATCACAAAAGCTTTGCTTCTCCAGCTCAACTGAACAATGAATGTCATAATTATAAGTCCATTAGTACTTTATCTAACGACATTATACACGGAAAGAAGAAACTTTTTAAGCCAGACTTTGAAAAGAACCTGCCTGGATGTGGCACTACAATCAAAATCATGTGATGGCCCAAAGTATTTATCAGATTACACCCTATTAGTCAGAATTCTTTGAATTTTAACCATTCCAAAGACCAACCAGAGTAGTGTTGCCAATTATCATATGCATTGGTGTAGGTATAAACATGTCTTTTCTATATATATACATGCACATGCACATGCAAAAGATAAGTTTGAAGACTCTGGTCAAGCAAGTGGGTTCATGTTGTCCAATGCTAGCACTAGTAATTCATGTTGTTTATAGTGTATTCATCACAATGTGTATTTACGCTTGTTTTTAACAATTCCCTACTCAGCTATTCTTATATGGCTTCCAAATTTAACGAGAACTCTTAGTGATATAATCACTAGTTGCCATTACATATTACCTATTCTGAATAACTACACCATAGCCCAGAGACCTAAAGGAGTATAACTGCTAAGGCGACTATGGAGTCCAGAGACTTGAGGGAGTAATCCCACTCTTTATACATAGTAACCTTCAAAAGCTTTCTATAAGCAAGAGAAACAAACACCCAATAAACCAAGATTCCCACCAATAAAATTTCCCTTGGCTTAAAGAGCGTGGATGTGAATTAAGAAAAGGTTACCAAGTGGAGCTCAAAAACCTGAAGCATACAAATCCAGAGGCCCTGGAGTACCCAACAAGAGAAGCAAAATAACATTAAGTACAAACGAACGCGTGTCTGATTTGAAGTCATAAACACATCTATATTATAGCAGTTAAACTAATCCTCCCTCAACTTTGAACTTAATACACGTTTGACTTCAATATGTTTCGTATGCAAACATCTTTGATCACATTCCACCTTGCCTTGGCACCCATCCCCATCAATATAAGACAATCATTTCAACCATATATCTACCATCAATATAAAATATAAGATTATATGTGGCCTAATAAGCTTTGCTTCTAGATCATAAACCTTGCTGAGCTATTAAACTAGTCGAATAATTTAATTTGAACTTTAAAAAAAAGAAGTAACAATGATGGTTTCTTCCCTTCAATTCACTCAAAACAAAAATTCATTAGCAATGAAATTCCTACTTTTCCTTGACTATCCTCAAATTCTCCAAAAAACCATCTCTATTATCATTTTTCAAGAACAATTTCCCACCATAATTCAACTGCATCCCCATTTGGTTACCTAAAGCCTGTGTGTGTGCAAAGAGATAAGGGGAGAGAGAGAGAGAGAGAATACATTGGAATTTGAGCTCATCCGGAAGAACAGAGATCATCTGATTACCACCACCAGCACTCATGATGGCCCACCGCCAAAGATGCAACAATTTCCTTTCTTTTCTTTTTCTTTTTTCCCAAAAATTCACCAAACAATCTCAAACCCTGCCATTCACATTACCAGAACAAACCCTAGCTCAGAAAAACGTAGAGAGAGAAACACAGAATTAAAGCCTCTGCTAGTACATGGCTAACACAGAGAGAGAGAGAGAGAGAGAGAGAGAGAGAGAGAGAGAGAAGGTGCAAATTAATTGAATTGTGAAAGAAAACGTGTGTGTGTTTGTGAGGGAAAGAAAGAGAGAGAAATTGAATTGAGACTAACACATGGTAGAACGTACGTAGAGGAGGAGGTACGGATTGCTCGGTCCAATTGCCAACCTTCTCTGCTTCGAAGATTCAGCCACCAAGATCGGGTTCGGGTCCGAGCGATCTTCAAGACCAACCGAAGAAGAAAGAAACCAAACTCCACCTCCTAATTTATTTTTTATATTTTTTAAAAATATTTAGATTTTTAGAGCCAGAGAGAGAGAGAGAGAGAGTGGTCCGATGGAAATGGCGGAGCTTCGAATTTCAAAGAGAGGTTCAGAGGGGCAGAGGTGGAGAGAGAGAGAGAGAGAGAGAAGGAGGCTGAAGGACATGTGTTAGTAAGAAGGGAGTGGTGACGCCCGCTTCAAAAGTTAGAGAGACGACGACGCTGAGAAGGAGAGGACAGGCAGGAGAAGCTTTTGAGTGAGGGAGTGCGCAGCATAACCTGTCTATACCAGACTGGATGTGGGACCCTCCAACGTGTCACTCAAAATGATAAAAATGATAGGTTGACGTGTCCCCTCTGCTTTTCAATCCCCTTAATTTAAGGTCGGCCCAAAATCTACAAGAAAAGGAAACAAAAATCTATCCCACCAGCATCATATATTGAATGCGAATGGGGTATTAGCTCACTGGTAGGAAAAAACTTATTATAACCGGATAACACTATTTTATTATCTCCGACTAATAATATTATGTCATGTGAAAAAGTTATTACGTATGTCATAACATTATTAGTAGAAAATAGCAAAATAATGGGGTCCTTGTTTTATGCAAGTGATTCTCTGTTGGTAAAACCGTTGGTATGCAAGTTAGTGAATTGCGGTTGGATCTCCTATTGTGCCGTGTATGTGAGAATACCCTCCCCTTTTTTAACTGTGGCGAAAAAAAAATACTGATGTTGAATGCACACCATCTTAATTTGTCGAATTTTTTTACTTTGTTTTATGTGATTTTAATTAGCAATTTGACTCATTTAGTTTGATAGTCATCTCAATTTAATGACACGTTCAAATTCCCGTCCAATTACATGATGAAGTAAGCATGTGTGCCTCTTGTGGTGAGGTATTTCGGGCAAACTTTAGAGCATGTCCACCCATGAAGGCTAAGGCAAGGCTAAGGCAAGGCAATGGCTACCACTATTCACATGAATAGTATCAGCCTTGCCTTAGTTGGTTCCATCCTTGGAAGGCTAGGGCAAGGGCAAGAAGAAAAAAAAGATTATGCAACAAAATATAAACAATTTAGAAAGTGAATAAAATTGTTATGTATTTATAGGGAAAATATATATAATTTTTTGGTTTTTTTTTTTTTTTTAAATTGAAAATTTTTTGGATTTTTTTGAATTTTTTTTACTCGCTGACGTCAGAGCCTTCGGACTACAGCCCAGGCAAGATCTGCCCGTGAGCTTGCCCAGTTTGATGGGACCCACCATTTGCCCGGGCCATTTCTCTCCCGTTGGAGCTCTCTTGGGCTGCCTTGGGGGGCCTTTTGCCCAGTCTTGGCTCAAGGCTGGACATGCTCTTAGATGTGTCTTTAAATTGCAATAGATATCAAACTACACAAGTCAAATCGCTAAAATTTGAACAACATAAATCAAAATGGGAAAATCTTGTTAAAAATGACTAAATTGAAACTTATTTAGTCATTTAATTAATGTCAAGATGATTTGTAATAGGTGATGCTTCTACTTTATCTTAATTATTTTTTTAGTTTTGCTCGTGGGTTAAATGTCTCTATACCTTGAAGTTTCAGATAAAAAGTTGGGTTGTCTCACTGTCACGTAATCACAGTGTCCCTTGTATGCAAAACAATTTCTACCATCTGAGTGTAATTAAAGCGTAGGTAAGGTAGGGAACTGATAACCATTTTGGACCTATTCTGACCTTATTATTATTATTATTTTAAAATCAGGTAAATGCTTACCTTCTATTGTTGATAAGAGGAGACAACAAATTAAACACGAATATAAAAGAATTATAAAATTTATCATGAAAATAGGGCAAATTGACATTTATGTATAATAATCAAGTGGTTGTGCCATAAAAAATGTGTGCCCTAGTTGTCTGTACGGGGGAAGAAAAATGAAAAAGAAAAAAAAAACCCTACGTATTGTTACGTTTGATTTTAAAGAATGTGTATTTTAGTGAGTTTTTCATATGTATACGGAAACATAAATATATTTGAATGAATCTTTTATACACACGTGTATAATACGGGAAAATGCTAACTAGGGTCAAATAATCTTTTATTTTATCATATTTTTGAAGATTACTGATGAAATGATTCTTAAGGTAAGGTAGATTGGTATAATTTATTGAAAACTTTTTTTTTTCTTCCTAATATTGTATTGTACCTAACTTATATGAAAATGACACTCCAGATTTTGAAGCGATTTAATTTCTTGTCTTGGAAGACAACCAAAAAACAGCAGAAGGCTGATCTAATCTAATCAGCTGACAAGAATCAATATAGTAATGAATGTGTTTGTAGCTACATAAGGAAAGAATCATAAACTATTGACCAGTGCAGAATCAATAATGCGGCTCAACAAATATATTCACCAAATGATGTTGTTGTAACTTGTATACATCTAACTGTTTTTAATGTTAAAAATAAATGACCCCAATAATAATCCAAATTTGAATAAATGACACATGTGACAGATACAATTTGATAAGTGTGGGAATGCTTGTTATAATATAGATACATGGGCTTCTGTAATGAGGGGCTATGTTGAGGGGTTCAATCTTGCCGGACCTCTCGTTACAATCTTTCTGATATTGATACTATTATGATATACACATTTGGTGGCCTAAACAAGACATAAATATTCCAATTAACTTGGACTAGTGTTACATCCCACTTCTAGCACTCTTATATAAGAGGAGACTGGACTCATTAAATTTGACAGTAGTCCTACTTTTTAAATAAAACAAGTCTAAATCTCTAAGGGTAAAGGTTCAAGGTTTATGAGCTTGGGAATAAGTTTGAAATTTCATTCCCATGTTTAGTAAGTGCACTACTGAGAATGCAATTCAGAACTAATGGATATGGACTTCCCATGTAAGGGGAATTTCATACCCTTGACTGAGTTTGGGAATTTTTTTCCCCCACCTAGAAAAACATTCAATGTAAATTTTTATGATTAACGTACCCCTGTTCTATTTTTAAAATACCATGTTTTACCCTTAGAAAAACTCTTTGTATTTCTTTCTTTTTAATAAAAAAAAGTTAAGGGAGTTTGAAAACTGAACAATTTTTCAATCCTAATACTGTAAAAACCAAACATGGTAACGAGATAAATGTCATTTCATGTTACTCATTTCCCAACGTTTCCAAATATGAGAATGAACATCCTCTATTCCCATGTCAATTAGATTAGATGTGGGAAGTTCATTTCCAAGAAGTTTAATTTGTGAACGAAACGGGCCTTAAGGGTGGGACTTTATGGGACATTATTCAAAGCCCAATTCAGTACTGTCCAGGCTGATCCACCAATATTGGGCTTGTAAACACCTCTAGAAATTTCCCCTTGGAAGTGGCCACTAATAAGATGTCATATAATCTCTCTAAGGCAATATTTTTAATTTATTTTATAGGAATCATTATATCCCAACCTATATAAAATATGAAGGTAGAATGCTTCCCATGATTAAACAGAAAGAATGAAGCAACTTCCTGGTAAAATGATGTTTTACCATGAAATTTGGGAACCCTGCCCTAAAAAATGATTTAAGATATTTTCTTGAAACAGAGCTGTATTTTTGCCTCTCATCCAAGCACACAGTTGTTTATATCTCCAAACTTAAGTTTGGTGGGGAGGTTTAGTTTACCTAATAGGGAAGAAATCCAGCAGGGAAGGAAACATAAAATACATGCATTACTGGAAGCTTGATGTCGCAGTTGTTGGAAACTTTTTCTTCTTCTTCCTAATTAATTATGAACTGAAACAACAGAAAAGAAGAAAAAAAAATATAGATACAACAAAAAATTGGAGAGAACTGATACGCCTATCAGATTAATGGATTCCAGGGTATATATAGTTCTTACAATGTGAGTATTCCGGGGACTCCTCTGACAGTGAAAACAACCAAACAAGAGCCGTGTACAATTTCTCATTTGAAAGTTGAGAACCTTGGAAGCTTGTCTCTCAAATAGTACAGCCTTGCCCTCCTAACCTTCCTGTGGCTCAGTACCTTTAGCTCCTTAATGTTTGGTGAGTACCTGAAATAATGAGTAAAGAAGATATCAAATATTCTTTGCCTTTCAAACTTGAAGGATGGCTTTAGGGGGAGAAATAACCAGTAAGCTTAAGAACTTTAATTGGAACCTGAGCATCATTATCAAAAAATCACACACATTAAGAAAACTGAATTCTACACATTCTGCTGGAGAATTTTATTTTCCCGTTTCTTTTATTAAATACGAAATACAATAAAAATAAACCATTTTGAGGTGGTTGTGGATGGGAGGAATCCAATCACACAATTAGTGTAAGTTTGCTTGCTCAACATCCTCCCAGCTCATACATGCTTCTACAATGCTTTTATCATCTATATAAATGTTAAAAGAAGCAATGCATCGAACTCCAAATATAGAACAAGTTGTTTACATTTCGAAGAATGCAATATATGTTTGCAATGCATCCAAGACTTAAGAAAGTCCTAATAAATAACCATGGGTGACTATTACTATCTCAGATAGATTCTCCATGTTAAGTTCATCAGAGTCATGTCATCGGAATCAAGGGAATCACATAAAGCCCAACTATTTATTTGTGAAGGGTTATTGAACCATAGACATGATAAATATATATGCTCTAGCAAAATCAAGCTGAACTAGTAATACACAAAAGAAAACTTACAGCGGGAACACAATCTCAACCCCTATTCCAGCAATAATCCTCCGAATGCGAATGGTTGTGTGAATGCCAGCATTTTGTCTTGAAATGACAATGCCTTTATAAACAGACAACCTACGCTTATTTTCAGGAACTTCCTGTAAGTCACACAGAAAAAGAATCACAAAAGATTCACTTCCGAATGGTATTAAAATCTGCAAGAGAAAGTTAGCAGAAACACTATTACCAGTTTGATTTGCACAACGTCTCCAGTTCTAATGTCCGGAACTGGCCTTTCTTGCACTGCTGCCTCAACTGCCCTCTTGTTTAATATCTAACCAAGCAGAAGAATTTTGATCAAAATTAAATTTCAATTTTAACAATCACTTATCATAGGAATCGGATTGAATGACGAAAAAACAAATGACAAGCAAATTAAGAAAGGTTTGTTTCAGCTTTAGTAACAGTGGCCTGTTTAATCCTACATTCCAGCTCAGAACTCAACACAACTTTGATGTCATTCTTATTTCCTGCATTTTCTCACCAGCCAAACAAGGCTTAGGCAGCAAAAGAGAGAAAAGAAATAACGTACCCCCATTATGTCTCCAAGCTTAACCCGAGACTTTCTGGGCGTCTTCGGCTCTTCAGGCTCAGACTCCACAACTGGTTCAGCTTCAGCTTCTACGATGGCCTCTGAGGCCTCTTCACTTCCAACTGCTTCAGCTTCACCTTCAGTGCTCGAATCTGCTCTCACAACAAAGTCCAGTCTCGACATTGCAGCGACGATGGGACTGAAGCTGGACCCAAATGAGATCGACGAAACCCTAGAGAGCGAGACCCGGGCGGAATTAGAAGAAGAACGACGAGAGAGGGAAGCGGAAAACCCAAGCTTTACCGGCGGGTGATGGGTAGGGTTTCTTGGCATTGTTATCAGAGCCTGCAAACCACAAATTCATCAATTTTCACTCCAGACATTGCTAAAACACACACACAAACACATGCAACATACGCGTTGAGACAGAGAGAATACCTGAGGAAGGGCTTTGGAGGCCATGATTCGGGAATTAGGGTTCTGGGAAATGAAGATTGAGAGAGAGAGAGAGAGAGTAGAGGTAATGGAGTGTAGACGGATGATGGATGATGGTTGATGGATTGGTGGATTGGTGGATAGGACGACGACAGAGGTAGCCTCATCTGTTTTATCTTTTTCTCACGTGCGTCGCACGTGATACAATCATGCTCTTATCTTAGCTCGTACATGGCGGGTAAGGGCCTATTTGGTATCATACTTAAAAATCGAAACTCAAAACCAATAATTCTTTCTAAAAATATAGTTTTCAAATACTCATTTTTAAGATCTAAAAACTTTTTTGGTATCCAACTTTAAAACAATTTTTAAATCTTAAAATTTTGAATTAATAAAAAAACAAAAACAAAATCATAGGCGAGAGTATCAGTAGTGCTATCGTCGTTGCTCTTCTTCTCGTACTCTCTCTTAACGTACTTCTTGTGGTCCGATAAGGTCACCTTGAAATCAAATGCTTTGTTTCGCTCTGCAGATCCTAGCCTGATGAACACGCGCTTTTCGATGCCGTCCTCAATCTTGAGCACGAAGTATCGTGACTAGTTGAGCACGGTCTGACGCTGGCACAGGTGGACGAAGCAGGCGGCAAAGAGCTCGCTGCAGTTCGGATCCTCCAATTGGATCTCGCACCGATACCCAAAGTCAATCAGAGAGAGAGAGAGAGAGGCACGCTAGGTGTTGGAGAAAAAAAAACTGAAAGAACAAATATTTTGTAATCTTAAAAATTGGGGTGTTTTTGAGTTTGAGTTTTCAAAAATAGGCCTAGCAAACATATATATATATTTTTTAAACTCAAATTATGTTTTTGAGTTTATAAAGATGGATTCAAGTCCAATACCAAATGCCCCCTAAGGGTCTTCGCGGGTACTCGACCCTAATGGGTCGAGTATGAAAGACAAAAAACGGGTATGGGGACAGGTACATGGAATTTTTTGGGTATGGTGTTCGGGGAGGGATGGGGATGATATTTTAATCCCTAACCTGAACCCTCTCCGTTTAGAATATATATATATATATATATAATTTTTTTGATGATATATATATATATATATATATATATATGCTATTAAAGTGATTGTACCGACTAAGTTTTATATTTTCTATTATTATATTATATATTTATATAATTTATACAAATCTTAAGCCACACTACTTATTTATTTAGTTAACTTCCAGTCCATATATAATATTCTTTATATATATATTCATTATTTTGCCTTAATTTTTTTTTTTTTTTTTCTTTCAACAAAGTAGTTAAATATTGATTTTTTTTCTTTCAACAAAGTAGTTATATATTGATTTTTTCTTTTGTAATGGGGTGGGTCGGAGAACCCATTCCCCAACGAAGATGGGGATGGGGAATCCTCGATATGAATATTGCCGATATGAAGGCAGGGATGGGGAAAAAAACTTAACAGGGATGGGGATGAGAATGGCATACCCACCCCCAATTCGACCAATTGTCATCCTTAACTCGTAGTTCACCATGTTGTAGTCATTTATAAATTATATCGACGCATATTTTGTCACACCTTATTTCTTCTCAACATGCCGCAATATTTATTTAATATGTTGTTGTTATTCATATTCAGAAGCTTATTAGAGATTTCTTCTAGGGAACTTCTCCAAAAATTCATCCTATCTCTTGGAAAACAATTTGTAAGCCCAAAAATTTGGAGGTTTGGGTCTATGTAATTAAATTTTTGTTAATAATGCCCCTCTAGCTAAATTAGATTGGAAACTAATTATGGCTAAATGTAGTCCATGACTATAATTTTAGCTTTCCAAAATATTAATTTTTTAAAGAATAGTATAGGGCTAAATTTTTCCCTCTCCAGCCCATGCATGGCTATATTTTAGGGCCCTTCATATTTTATTATTTAAAAAAAAAATGGTACAACACTCATACATTCAACATTATGTATTGTTTTAAAAAAGAATTTTATATACATTTAAAACTTAAAAAGAGAGAGAAAAAAAATTAACGTTTGGTTGAAACTGATATTATCATATGTATCAAGTGTAATATATTGTAGTAAATTATTATAACTAAAAAATTATGGTGTGTTTAATTTTCTTTCACTAATTACTATATATTTTCTAAAGTCACAATATTTGTTAGGTCGCTACATAATCAACTTAAATCACTCAAACCCACCATGCCATGCATTTCCTTCCAATTTTTTGTGATAAAATAATAGGCAATTGACTAAGTAAACATCCTCTAAAGTTTCAATAAAAATTTCCAAGTTTTTCTAACAATTTCTTTGATTTTTATTCAATTTTATCGATATTTACATCGATATATCCATGTTTTTGGACCACCGATATTTCCGAAACTCTCGATATTTTATACCTTGATTGATACAAACTTATGCATACAAAATATCAGGTGGACGAGAAGAAATGAAGCTTTTTGATTGTTGGTTGGCCTATGACCAATTGTCATAGTCGGTGGCTTTTTTTTTTAAGCAAAAGAAGGTGTAGAGAAAATGAATTTGCAATGATCGGAGCTATCCAATAAAGATGAACCATAGAAGACAGAGAAGTAGGAGAAAGTGGTTTGACAACATTAAACCACTCCAAAGCATACTAAAAAATGAAATGATGCGGTTCACTAGGCATGACACAATTTTGCTCAAACACACCTTTACATCTCCATTTCCATGTAAACCACAAGCATATAATAAAAACCAATGGCCAAGGCAAACCATTATACTCCTTCCTTTTAGCCTGCAAATTTCTTAACAACCATTCTTCGAAAGCCATCCCATCATGGATAAACCTATCCTTAACTCAAAAACCATTCCAAATGGCTAGAGAGAGAGAGAGAGAGAGGACAATCCTTAAATATGTGAGCAATATTTTCCAAAGGATAAGCGCATCTAGGGCATGAAGAAAGCTGAGTGACAATTCTTTTCTTCCTTTGTTCATTAGTAAGTAACTTTTGATGGCAAACAATCCAAAGGAAAATTTTAAACTTGGAAGGGAGAAGCAAGTTCCAAATAAACTGCCAATCCCATTTATCTACAACCTCATTTAGAAGAAAAGAGCTATATGTTGACTTAACTAGCCTTCATCCAGCCTTCGCCAAGATAGCTTGGTTCATCTAAGTAGACCTCTTAATGCCTAAACCACCAACAACTTTAGGCTTACAAACTTGCTCATAATTAATAAGATGGACCTTTGTTGTATTACCTTTTTTTTTGGGTCCAAAAGTAATTCCATTGCAAAGCCCAAGAGAACAAGTAGAGACAAACAAAACAGCTGGGATGAAATCTATAGCAGAAACAAGAAGAAGCCACATGATTGACCAAGATCTAGCCTAACGAAAAGTAGCTTCTCCCACTTACAGATGAGACAAAGATACTCTAATCACAAGGTAACCCATTAGCTGTGAGAACATGAACAAGAGATGGAGGTGGCCTACATGCCCAACTTTGTAGTTTCACCGCTTGCATGCCAGTCTTTACCGTCATGTAAGCTGCTTGATTCAAAACACGGGGAACCCAATTACACTCCACCACAAAAAGGGTGGCCATCTTACATCCGATTTCTTTGATGACAGGCAGGATAGTCCAAATCCGATTACCAACCTTGCCTTTGATTCCATCAATAAGAAATTTTGAGTCAAATTCTAGAATGACTCGATTGAAACTATGTTGGATAGCAAGGTTGAGCCCACATGTAGCGACCTCTGCCTCATCGACCAAAACCTATTGACAGAAACACGGGGCCGCTAACCCAACACAAAACTGCCTAGAGGAATTCCAAATAACGACCCCAACACTAGCCGTGGAGGAATCATTGACCTAGGCTCCATCAATATTAACTTTCACAAAATCATTTATGGGAGTAAGCCATTGTATGGAATTCCCCTGCCTCTCCTAAGTTCCCCGAGCCAAAGTAATAGAAACACCAATCGTCCCTTGGAATTCCGACGCCGCATCGACAACCTTAGTGATCATCCACTTGGGCTCAAGCCTTCGACCCTTAAAGATGAACCCACAACGAGCTTTCCCTATTTCCCATAGGATGAAACTTATCAAAGTTAGCAACCAATCAAGATCACACTTAGGTATGTTAGGAGGATTGAACAAGCTGGCAAGCCAATTCCTAATGGTTGTGAATCTTTGAGGGTTGACAATGTAATTGAGGGGAGATTCGAACCATATAGATTTGTCTAGAAAAACAAAAAACAGAAGGTGCTCAATATATTCCTCATATTGATCACATATGGGGCACATAGAAGAATCCATAATCTTTCTTCTGTAAAGATTGAGGCGGGTAGATAAAAGCATTGCCAAGTATTCTCCAGCAAAACATATGAATTTTTGGTAATGTTTTTATCCTCCATATCTGCTCCCATATACAATTATCAATATTATAGGAGGAATGATTACTTCTCATAGCAATGTGTTGGTGTTGGGAGAGAAGAATATGATACCCAGAACTGACACTATAATTGCCATAAGAAGTCCAGGGCCACACAAGTTGGTCCGATTGGTTAGTGTCCCCAATAGGAATTTTGCGAATAAGATTCATTGTATCCAAATTCAAGTAACAATTAATATCCGCTAACATCCACTTATGAGCTTGTGGATCTATAATCTCATGAATAAATTGGGGAGCATACTGTGAGAGAGCGGTATCTGGAATGATGTGTCCACAATTCGGATAAGGACGCCAATTGTCCACCCAAATGTGGGTAGTGACCCCATTCATAATTTACGTGTGAGCCTTGGCAATTACAACATCTCGGCCCTCAATCATACTTGATCAAGCCTACGAAGGATGAGATCCCAAAGTAGCATGAAGGAAATCACAGTTGGGAAAATAACGACCCTTAAGAACTTTCACCCATGTAGCATTGGGGTTATGAATCATTTTTCAACATTGTTTTCTAAGAAAAGCCAGGTTAAAGCTAACCAAATCTATGAAGCCTAGGACGCCATCGCTCTTAACCAAACTAACGGATTGCCAAGATTTCCAATGTATCTTAGACCCACCATCAACGTCCCCTCACCAAAACTTAGCCTTGTCTCCGTTGATCTCTTTACAAAGAGTAACATGAAATTTGAAACACATCATAGTATAAGTGGG